CTACTTTTTTCATGAAAAAGACAAAATTTCCTATAATTATGTCCAAACCCCAACTTTCTAGCACATCTAGAACTCGAGATACAGTCATTTGAACATTCCGAGGTTAGAGACGCAGCGTGTCTCGTCGTCTGCATCTCTAGCCTCTTAAACTTGAAGCGACTTTATCTCAGCTCCTAAAAGCGCTAGAAAAGTAGTTTTTATACAGAATTGTGGGAAATTTTGTCAATTTGATAATTGAACAAAGATTGTTTCAAAAACATTTTTTCGAAAGTTACACACTTTCAAAATGGCCGATATTCATTTGAAAAACGGAGTTTTTCATGCATTTATGATTAGCTGCATCTATTTTCAGTTTCAAATGCTTACGAATAGGAGACGGTGGTCGTTGACGAATCATATTTTTGTTATCTGACCGAATTGTGATTGTTCCTCCGGTGTCTGAGTCCGAATCAACAGTGATGACCTCAACTGGAGCTTCTTCTTCGTCATCCATTTTGTTGACTGAATAGTCTCTGCAAAATTGATAGAAATTCAGAAATTCGAAAAATCAGAAATTCAGAAATTCAGAAATTCGGAAATTCAGAAATTCAGAAATTCAGAAATTCAGAAATTCAGAAATTCAGAAATTCAGAAATTTAGAAATTCAGAAATTCAGAAATTCAGAAATTCAGAAATTCAGAAATTCAGAAATTTAGAAATTTAGAAATTCAGAAATTCAGAAATTCAGAAATTCAGAAATTTAGAAATTCAGAAATTCAGAAATTCAGAAACTCAGAAATTCAGAAATTCAGAAACTCAGAAATTCAGAAATTCAGAAATTCAGAAACTCAGAAATTCAGAAATTCAGAAATTCAGAAATTCAGAAATTCAGAAATTCAGAAATTCAGAAATTCAGAAATTCAGAAATTCAGAAATTCAGCTTTTTTTTGTTAATTTTTCATTTCAGCATATTTTTTTTCCATTTTTTTTCAAAAAAGTACGGAAAATTTTGCTTTTCCGATTCGGGTATTATTATTTTAAGCATTTTCATTTTTTTTTTAAACTTACTTTTTCCGGATTATGACCAGCGTTTAGTTCCGAACAGTACAAATACCAAGAAATATGGCCCAATTGATTTTGCCTGAGTATTGGATGGCAAAAAAGGCACAAACTGGGACAAGACAACTGGGGTGTGTATGTTGCGTCTTCTAGGTTTCCCTCTTTTTCTCTCGCAGTCTCCTTCCTTTCCCTAGTGTATCACAAGAAAAAAAGAGACGGAGTGTGACCTGTGTACAAGCGTGCGTTGTGGGGATACATGGCACCCGCACGGTGACCAGTGGCCTGATTCGCGGGCTACTTGGCAGATGTCTTTGGATTTTAGAAAAATAAAAAATCATACAAATTGATGGAATATGAGCTTTGTTTTAGGATATCAGGAGAACTACTTGAATTACTAGGGAAAACAAAAAACTAGAGAGCTTTGAGCTCGATTATCTCGGTTCTTATGAGAGATATCAAACATTTGTTAACAGATAAAATATTGGTGATGATATGATAAACAATTTATCAGTTGACAACTTTTTGATATCTATCACAAAAACTGAGATAGCTGAGCTCAAAGTGCATTTGTATTGAAGGTTCTATTACAGTGAATACAGTATTCCTGGAAATTCCGACTTTCTAGTCTCTAAACTTTTACAGGTACACCATTGCTTCAAGGAACTAAAAGATCTAGAAATTCGAGAATTAGAGAATCCAGGAGTTGAAATGGTCCCTCCTGAGGAAATGGCATTGATCCATATGACGTTTGATCGGGAAATCGTCTGGAGCCAAAGCGTCGAGGATCCGACTGTTCCAACAATCCAAATTATCTAGTTTCATTTTCTGCTTTTCTGTATCTATGTTGACCCCATGTCATCTAATTCTGACATTTCCCTCTGTCGTGTCCCTTTCTAGTCCCTTTTCTGCTCAAATCTTAATTTTTGTGTATCAAAACTTCCCAAGAACTTCCAGTTGTTAGAATATGACACTTTCAATGTTTTTTCTTTATTCTTAATTTGATCTTTTGTGGATTGCTTGCAGCTTGTGTTTTATATGAATTTATACGAGGAAACTTGGAAGCAAAATCTTGTAGGTTCTTATCAGTTGAGCTACGCGGTCAAAATCGGTTGATTCCATCCTTTCAACAGTAACCGTTGATCCTCGTTACCAACCAGTCTAGCCCATTACGAGTATGCACCTGCATGCCACGTCATCCATTCTACCCCACTTTGGTATGAAACTTATATCAATCGAAAATCCTTCAAAAATCCAGAAAAAAAAACCCGAACAAAAGTATGGCGAGAAGGTGTTCGAACCTGCATCTAGTCGCCTACTGTGCATCCCTCCTCGCCACTACACCACTGCTCGCTGTTTGTTTCCCTTCCCCCAATCTATATAAGAAAGAGGGGAGGCGCAGCGCCCTTAAGAGTCAAATTTGAGCCAAATTTGAAACTTGATTTTCTCGAAACTGGTAGCTCCTCAGCAAAGTCTGAATACAGTTTTGAAAATGTCTCATCCTCAGCTTTCGAATGATATAAGTTTCATACCAAAGTTCCACCCCCCGATTACAACCTTCCCTAGTTAGCAGAGGTCGATTCTGCTATACTCGGTCACTTCCTATGTCCTTATACTGTCTTCTTTGCCCTTCTTTCTCAATAACGCCTTTTGGGTCTTTGTCGTTTTGTGCCTTCTGTGCCTTCTGTGTGCAAATTTTCCTTCCCTTGAGCTCAACTGTGTGCTGTGTTGCGTGCGCGCGCGATCGATTATTAATCAATCAATCAATTGATTTTTAATACATACCACGTTTCTCCTCGTCCTCGCTCATTTGTGTCTTCTGTGCCATTTCTTCCCGTTTCTTCGTCTCCGTCTTTATTG